ATACAGAGTTTCGTCTATACTGGAGTACATGTTCAGAATTCGTTCAAAAAAGGTTCCATCCTGAATGTAGGGGAAAATATTTTGTTGAAGCTTAGGCGAGTCATTTTTTAAATATTCGTTTAATTGGTTTTGTACTTATTAGAGCTCATTTGGTGTAAAGGCAGTATTTTTTTCATCTAATAGTGAAAACTTCTCACAATGCAAAAATGAAAAATTCTATGTTTAGGTCAAAATTTGTCAAAGAGTTACACATGTACGGTGATAATGCGGTGCATTGGTGCAACCACTTTTAGGCAATATCAGCAACTACTTCGAAAATTAGCTGCGGTGTTGAATACTTGTACAGCGATTTTGCAGAAATTACAATCTAAAAGAAATAAGAACAGCCCCAAAAAAGTTTTTATTTAAACGTCTATGACTTTAATAAGCTGGTCTACCCTTAGAAAGGCTGAGCTTTCCAATGTACTACTCGAGCAACATCAAGTGACGCAAAAAATTTTTCTCTTCTTCCCTAAAATGACTATTGATGAACATTTAAGCAACTGATGCAATTTCTAAAACTGTGCTTACGAGTTTACTAATATTAAACCCAAAAACAAGGATTTTAAGGTCTGAAGTGTAACTTGCAGGAAACTTTAGTGGTATGTTGTTGTAGACCGTTTTTGGCAGAAACAAACTAGAATAAAAAAATTAAAGAGTATAAGATAAATTAGATTAAATTTCTACGTTCTGGAATGCACAGGGGAGTTGTTGCTGCACATGACATTATTAAATGTTCAAAACTTCCAAATAGCAACTCCATCTTCTTTTGTACCTTCCATCATTTTTACCCTTTTCTTTCTAGATTCGTAATGGAGGAATTTCGCAAAATTCTCTTTAGCGAGGATCTGCATGCAGTTAACAACTTTCTGTTACTGCAAAAAAAAGCAGAAAGAGGTGTGCGGATTTACTGTAACTGGCAAAACAGAAGATTACATTTTTTATATTTAATCACTGGCATACGTTTTTGTGGAAAAATTGGATGATCTTATGTCTATTTTTATGTGCCAAAGGCTTTACTACAGGGATTGGATACGATTCTATAATCAGCATGTCAATTAACCTCAACAGGCAAACCAACCTCGGGGTACAATTGGCTCTGCATCGTATAACTACCATAATTTTACAGTGGGAAATGGCTATAATATTCGGAAACACCATTCCAATCACTTTACTAAGTGGTGTTATGGTGAACCCGGATTCTTCACAATCCAGAAACATTTAGATGTATTTGAGCTTTTTTTTAGAACTCTGGAAATGCATTTTCAATCACGTCTAGCTCAAAAGGCCCAAAATCTTTAGCTAGAGGGAGGCTTGCTTTGAGTGATACGCCATATGCTATTGAAACCTCCGATTTTTAGAATCATCTAAGACTTTTCAAAAACAAACGACAAGAACTTATCCAACAACCCAGTGCAGTGCTTTCTTGATCAAGGCCAACGATTTAAGTTGTGGGACCTAGAAGCTCGGATAATTACAGGATACCCTACAAAGTCGCAACTTTTGCAGAATTATGACCCTCCGAGGCATACTGTTAGCACATAAGTCAAATCTTCTATTTTATAAAACACAAAAAGGAGACAAAGGCAATTCAAAAGCAGAAACAATTTATGTAGTCGAAACGGAAACAT